AAAAAAAAAAAAAAAAAAAAAAAAAAAATGTTTATATTCCTAAAATTAATTAAATAAACTTTTTTGCCATATATAATACCAACTGTTGTTGTGTCAAATATGTGAGTAACCATGTGTACATATACAGCCGGTATAGAGTATATTGAGTTGTTATATTAACCTTAATCTTAAGACTGTTGCATTAACCTGTAACACCGTCGGCATACTAATGCACATATATATATATATATATATAAGGAGAGAGATATGTATATGCATGCAATACGCTTGCTCGTTACATCTAGAATCTTAAAAAAAAAAATTCCATCGATGAGATTTGAATCAATTTACCGACACTTACCATCATAAATTTTTGATCTTCAAATTGATGATCATTGCCACGGTGTAGGATATGCATTTTTGCTTATTAGAGCTTTTTCTTTTTGTTCCTTAAAAATGCAATTTTATAAAATTTCAATATTTCTTCGTTTATTACTTTTCCTAACTCTAACTAACTGCTCTCCTGTTTCGTTTCTTTTATTTTGTTTTGTTTTATTATTTTTTACATAAAATCACTAAACTGAATATTATATTATTAACTGATGATCAGATTATTGTTATTGTTATTGTTATCGTAATTATGAAAATAATTTTTTAATAATTAAAAATTTTTCAAATAATTTCGAAACTTATTTATGAACATGTTTAGCTATAGACATTGCACAATAACGCATACGCATGTTAATATGTGAAGACATCGAGAACGGGAGTGTTGGTTAGAAACAGAAATGCAGGTACGAATTGGCAAAAAATGTGTGCGCGCGTAAGTGTCGAATGTGTTGAATATCTTATGCATGTGTATGTGTATGTATTCTGACTGAAATTGGCACAAATTGTTAACAATAAGGCAACTGTGACTTAATTTACATAAATTTGTTGTTGTTTGTTTGTTTGTTTCTTTTTGTTTTTGCTTTTTTTTTTTGTTAAATTTTTTAAAAAAAAACTTTTTTTTTTTTTTCTTCTATTAGTTAACTTTCAAGTTTAAGAAATTACGGCAAAAATATTCAAATGAGTCTAATAATGAGCATCGTTACTGGCTTCAGGTCATTATATCTGATGAACTTTTCATTTGTTCATTTATTTATTTTTTTTCATTTATTCAAATTCAATTTCAAAAGGTTGTCCACACGAAACTTTCATCTGTAACGGTAATTATTCGATTTGTGTTAGAAAACGCATCGGGTAAATGAATTATTATTGAAAATGCAATTGCAGTTCAATTTCATTTCATGTGACAAATACGACCAACATACGACCAATAATAAGGTAATATATGCCTGTCTGCCTCATTAGTGTTGATTATTTGTTGTGGTTGTTTGTTGATTTTGTTTTTCGTTTCGTTATGTTTTTCTTTTTTTTTTTTTTTACTTTTCTTTTCTTTTCTTTTCTTTTTTCCTTATGTTATGCGTTTTTGAATTCTTTGTAATCGAAAAAAAACTGTGCCTAGATTTTTGTGGGTTTTTAGTAGCGATTTGATTTTCATAGACGTGCAATTGATGAAACGACCCGAAACCGAAATGCCCTTGCGCAGCCACAGACGGTAGTTTTCGACTGAAACTTAGTTTTCTGGTTGGACACTAAAACCTTCGGGGTATGTAAGTAAGGCAGCAAATGCTGCTCCGCATTTGTTTTTTTTTGCCTTCTTTTTTTTTTTTTTTGTGTTGTTCCTTCGCACACATACAGAGCTTACTTTATTAAAATAAAGAAAATAAAAAAGAAGAAGAAGAAAACAAAAAAAACAAAAAAAAAAAACAAATTGTATCAACCGGCAGACCAACAACTTGCCAAACGACCGACCGAACAACCTTTTTTAGTTGAAAATGAAAACAAAAAAAAAATATATATATGTGAAAAAAAAGAAAAAACAAACAAACAAACAAACAAATAAAATCAAAATAAAAGAGAGAGAGAAGAAAACAATAGATACGGATTTGGTGGTTAATTCTGAAAGATACACAAAATCAGGATGAGATACAAGATGTATCGCACACTCGCTTTTATGCATTTGTATATATACATATGTGCCGTATTCGCTGTCTTTGTTTTTGTTTTTCTAATTCATTAATTATTTCATAAAATTTAAGCACTTAAATATGAAATTTAAGAGAGAATAGCACGAAAAAGAGAAAATCAATTTTTGCAACGTTTTATGCAGAGCACAAAAGCGACTCTCCTCGCTCTTACTTAGGACAAGCTGCTAAGCAAAGTTTGTTTACAACATTGCCGTCAAATTCATCATATATATCTTGCTGGCTTTGCATTTGCCCGATACATATCTAATTCTCTCTTTCTTTTTCTTTTTCTCTTTCTCTCTCCCACTCCCTTTCATTACACAACAATTCGCTCTCTTGACAAAATTACATATACATAAGCGTTTGATAAAACGCAGATATGTTCTCCAAGATGCTTAAGCTGCGTTTTGTTTTTTTTTTTATTGCATAATTTCAATGATTTGAAGAGAGCGTTTATCGAATTGTTTTTCTGAAAAAAAAAATTCTCTTTTCACATTAGCTGAGTTTGCGTGGTAGTAAACTAGTTTTCATATATATATATTTTTGTAGCATCGTTCAGGTTTTGAGGCTTTTGAATTCAACTCTCGCAGCCATTTATGAATGTGGAAGCCACACCTTTTCTACTGGGTACTAGACAATGGGTTGGCCCAAATGAAAAGTAATGCAGCATACGACATATTTGAAACAGTGCTACCGATCAATTTACTTTATGCTACAACATGCTGCCAACACTAGCGTACAAGGCATGCCCTTAAGGGTGGAGGCGCTCGCTACTGGCTAGAACTCGGGCAATCGTTCACAAATTTCACGTATATGTTATACGTATATGTGTGTAAATGGGTGCATATTTCTTTATATACGTGTTATGTGTATGTGCGTATGCATGTAAATATGAAATTCGCCTGTATGTATAGGACCGTGCGTTTATGGTTTTTTTTGCCCATATATATCCCTTAATGAACGCGTATATGTATACATACATGTATATGCCTGATTGTGTGTGTGTGTGTGTGTGTGTGTGTGTGTGAATATGTAAGTGGCTCTTGGTGCGTTACAATTTCTTTACGTAAATAATATTCATATTTATCCGTATATGAATATGTCCATATATGTATGGGTATTAAAATTTTGTATGTGTGCGCTCGTAAATATACATCCATAGCCCACTATATATATTGTCTGCTACCTCTGTTATATAAATCGTCTCCGTAGCGTTGTTATTTTGTTTGTTTCTCATTTTCTTTATTTTATTTTATTTTTGAAACATCCATGCAATACACGTTTACATATACACATACAGTTCATAGCAAAATAATAGCAATTTTTGCAATAAAATTATTATTTCCAGAATATTCGGATCTTTCGTTAACACAAGTTTTCAAAAGATTTTTATATATCTTATTTTCGGACATACATTAAATTTAATTTTAAATATATTTCATTTTTCTGAATCAATCAAAGTACCCGACAATGCTGCAAATCAAATTGATGACCGAAGTCTTACGCAATGACGGTAACAATAAAGTAGAGAAAATAGTTTACAAACTCCATAAGAAGCATAACATAATTTCCATAATTTTCGTCTAAGGTCAAAACTTTGCTTTCGAGTAAATACTATCGCTGAACCATCATCGCTAGGCATCAGAATTTTGATCCATGTTGCCGTACTTGTCCTATAAGTTTAGTCAGTGACTTTGAATGGCAATCAAAATGATTTATAATTGTCCAACGCATATAACGACAGATAAGGCAGATGAGAATAGGTAAATATGTGAGAAACTAACATGTCAAAGAAGATCAGGCGGGCAATAGAGAGAAATTATAGAAATTTCTTCCCATTTTAAGTGTAAATAGATTTTGTAATACTTTTACTTGATGTGGAAAAAAAAAAAAATCATCAAACATATCGACAATGGTTAAAAAATTGAAACCGAGAACTAAGTCTTGGAGTTAGTATGAGATAATATGCTTAAATTTGGCGAAAAGCTGAAAATTATTTCGATTTTGTGTTCACTGATATGCACGCAGTCAACGTTGTCCGTAGCGGAAGAGTTTGCAAAGTTTGCTTTTAATTATCATCAAAAAAAAAAAAAACTTGATTTATTTTGAAAGAGACTGGGCTTCGAATCGCCCCAACTTGAATTAAATGACAAGAATGCTTGAATACTTGAATAGTAAAAGTTGAAGGATTAAAAAAAAAAATCTTATTTATGTTTTTTTTTTTTTGTTTTTACGAAAGACTTGCAATTGTTTTATTATGCACTGTAATTCTATGGACGTAAGGGATGCTAAATAATTAATATTGATTATTTTGAGAATATGAAATAAAATCTTTGCTTTTTCAAGAATATTTACATTTTGATAACCAGTAATATGGTTGCAAATAAACAAAGAAAAAAAAAAAAAAACAAAAAAACAAAAACAACTTTTATTAAAGATTTCCTATATTCATGTAAAGAGTTCGAAATGCACTTAAAGCACTGAAGGCTTTATCTGCATATTCTTTAACATTTTGACGACGAACTAACATATCATAAATGAAATTTCATTCCGGAACGCTGATGCCGGCCAATCGAAACAACAGCCCTATGAAGCGTGCAATTTAATTAATATTCTTGTTTAGTATGACATTGTCAGCCCACTTCTGCATTTCATATGGGAAATATTTAAATTCTAATTTGAAAAATTGAATTTAATCTCTTTTAAGCTATTGCTGTAAGTATTGTATGAAAACTTACGACGAATTGCACGAGCGATCAATTTGAAAAGCATTTCAATGATATGCAAGAGTCCTGAAAATAATAAGCTATCGTACCTATATACTTGAATACTTGAATACGCTTATGTCGAAAGGGTAAACGCAGGCTTTTGCTAATCGATAAAAATGTCAAGTTATCATAGAAAGCATTGGGGCAGATTTACTTATTCATATTTTTATTAGTTTAATTGCTATGTAAAAAGCTTTACGAATATTCTAAAAGTCCGACAATACCATTACCACTATTGGTACTATCATTATAAGCTAATGCTATTTATCATTATTATAGATGAGTTTAGTTTTACACTGGATTAAATCAAACGGTGTACTTTGCTGCTTTCATATACACTACTACCCTACTAAGGTTTAAATGTCTTATGTTAATGTTAAAAATTTTCCCACATAATAATCCATTTCGTGCTCTAACTTTTTGGTTTATAAAATGTTTTTTCTTCTACAATACTAAACCGTAATAATTAATGTTGTTCGTACGGCATTCTTGAAAGTTTCCCTTAATACCGAGAAATTTATACATACATCCATGGATGACTAAATAGCACAGATTTTAATCAGAACTTTTAATAAAACAACACAAAATATTGCAAGTAGTAAGTCATAGAGTAAGAAAAATCAATTTTCAATTATTAGCACAATTGAGCCTAATCTTTAATTTTGTGCTATCACTCTATGTCCAAAGTATTTTCATATCTTATTTATATTGAAAACTTT